TGGTCTTCAATGCCTGGCTGCTCCTCTCAGGCTCGTCTCAGCCATTCATCATCCTTGATGACCCTCAGTGACCTAAACCAGCTGCATCCATTGCACTCCCACCATCAATGTAGGCTGAGGACTTGCTGTCAGGGGAGCCTTGATGGACAGCACTACACGCATTGGTGTGACATCCTCCAGGATCAGTGGGAAGATGTTTTTTTCCTTGTGCTCTCTGGTCTGTTGGAACTTCCCTCAGGATCAGTGGGCTAAGGCATCCTCTGGGAAGCCTGGTATTGGACTCAGATGGCAGTGATGGGTTGAGGGCAGAGTATGCAGTCAGCCCTGGCACAGCACTGGATGCAGACCCTGCAGTAGGTGTGTGGGCAGGGTACCACACGGCCATGCCAGCCAGTGGACAGAGACAAATGGGAGATGTCTGCTCATCAGGGGTCTCCACTGGCTGTGTCTGCACCTCCTGGCAAATGTCCTCAGCTGTCAAAACATGGAGGTGTTCAAATGACAGCCATTTCCTTGTCAGTTTTCACATTTTCTCCTGTCTTACTTTTCTAGTGGGCTGGGGGTGTACTTCTTGGATTTCCCTTTTCTGGCCAATGTACTTTTGGAAGCCATTCTCCATGTTCCTTGCCAAAGCCATTTCCAAGTGTATTTTGAAGAATGTTGCTGGCCCAGGGTCTTACCTGCAAAGCTGCTTTCCAGGTAGGATCGCTACTTTCCCTGGTACCTCTAGCTATTCCTCTCCATGAATTGGACTTTCACTTCCTCTTGTTAAAATTCATGGGATTCTCATCAGACCATTTCTCTAGCCTACATGGCTACACAGCCTTCTGCTACATCAGCTGCTCTTCCCAGTTTGCGATCATCAGTGGACGTGCTAGAGTACACCCTGCTCCATCATCTAAATCACTCTTGAGAATGTTCAATAGGATTGAACCCACAATTGGTCTTTGTGATGCACCTGCAGAATGGCTGTGATTCTCCTATATGCAGGCAGACCAACAGACTTGCAGGATTATGAGGGGACTGCAAGCATCTCAGGTTTGTATTGTCTACACATTTGCTGAGAATGTGCCAGGTCATCACCCAATTGCAGATGACTCTGCTTAATGGCACAGTTATGGATGCGCCACAGGTTTAGGGGCTTGCCAACGGCCCTGCCAGACATAATATATCCAGTGCTGCCATCTGAAAATGTTCAGATGAACATTTTCACAGCTTCACATCCCACCCTCATCTCCTCAGGTCCCATTCCCATGGCCTGGTGTTGTGAATTCCTACATATTAACATCCTGAGATTTCAATATTTCTATCTCTAATGTACTTTAAGCTGCTATCACCACTAAAGCTCTCAGTATTCTTAGAATCATAGAATGGTTTGGGTTGGAAGGAGCAATAAAGCCCATTCAGTTCCAATTCCCTGCCTTGGACAGGGTTGCAACTTACTAGATCAGGCTGTCCATGACTCCTTTCAAACTCACCTTGAATGTGTCTAGGGACCATGGCATCATCTGTCTAGTCTTTCTGCCTCTTAATGATTTATTAATCACTAGCCTCTTTCTGTGACCAAGTTTAAATTGTACATTTAAGAGACTGGGCTATGGAAAAAAGGGAAAATGTGCTAATGAATAAAAATTCATACAATAATTGCTGCATAATCTAGGTGAGTTTCTCATTTCAGTCTCCATCCTTTCTCCTGCAGTGTTTCATACAGTTTGCCTGAGGAGGCATGAGAATTACTACACAGGAAAAATTTCCTAACAATTGAAGGGCAATGAGCATTTGATGAGTGTTACACTCCTTGATTATCAATAGAGACAGAGTTGGAAAGGAAGGACATACAGTTGTGGGAGGGCACAACCAGAGAGGGTGTTGTACTGCTGGAAAAAATTATGAAAGATTTAAGCAGCACATGCTGCTTAAACAGCTGATCAACACTTGCCACCACTACAGCAAACAGTATTTTTATTGATATTTATATTAATACCTCGAGCTATACAGATGTAAAATATACGTATAATCTTTTCTCTATTAATCTCTTCTCTACTATTAACCTGTGGGTATTCACAAACATAGCCAAAAATAAGTTTCCAGTGTTGTTCATATAAATCTTAATAATATTCAATGTCATTTTGTTCTATAGGCAGTGTACCACCTAATGAGATAACTCCTTTTGAATTTTATCTAGTTTCAGTGAGCATTATTCTGTTCTCATAGAAGAGCTTAGTCTACTTTTTTTGTAACTTTGCTTTGTCAGGTTTTTCCTGTCCCCTGCTAAACCAACCAGTTTTAATCCTTGCAGTCTCTCTGCATAATATAACCTCGTTCTGCCTGAGCTCTTCTTTGCCTACCTCTAAATCATACCTTAAAGAGCCATCATCACAACACCAAATATAGTATATTAGGGTACATCATTTTCCACCATACATTATTTTTATTTTATATGCTGTTCCTTCTCTAGCAGCACCCAATCTACATTTTTGAAGACCATTACCTATTGAAAAAAACTATTGATTTAGCTAGTATTTTCCTGATTGAAGCCCTCACATTGTGCATAAAATGTGGAAAAGGCCAATAGATCATTCACGAGATACAAACATAACTTGATCTAGTACATTGGTGAGAATATGAGGAAGCACTGAAACTGCTGAAACTGCTAAAACTGAGAGTTGCTTTAGGTAATGAATGCATATGTAAAGCTCAGATTTTGTCAATTTAATGAATATAGCAGTATGATCACATAAGACTGAAAGAACAGAATTTCAGCAGAATGCCTTTCTGTCACTGAAAGGTTGAAACGGTACCTGATATGTTTTTGCTACTTAGTCTGAAAAAGTATTGTAGTGGCAGAGGTTAGGAATGCATGAGAAGGTGATTTGGATTATACAATAAGAGCAACAGAAGAGTTTTTCTGTGAGGGAAGGTGTTTTAATAGCAAAGTCAGCACCTGTTCTGAGCCAGAAGGATTTTCAAATGAGCCAGAATTTCCCTTCCTTCTGTCAATCTGATGCTTCAGCCTCAAGAACTGAGTGTTTTCATTCTGTGTATCCATAGCAGTAGAAGATAATGTAACCATAAAAGAATTCTAGTCTCTGCCCTTCTATGTCCTCAGTAATGTTTTGCTATTTTGAAACATATGGTAAACTATGGGAGAAAAATGAATTTGTACCTTTGGAGAAAACTTTACCAAGTTAGAGTATTGGAGTCCAATGTGGACCACATCATGCATATGTGGTAGCTGTGGGAAGTATTCAGGTATGATAAAAAATAATTGTAAGAACATATTGGCCCTGTCTTGAATTTCATCATGTCTTTCAGAGATGCTGCTTTCAAAATAAAGATCCTTTTGTTTGCTTGTTTGTTTCTTTGTTTCTTTGTTTAATCTAAGTACCATTAATGTTGGTAATTCATTCATGTGCAGCTTACATCTATGTGTGATTCTGCATTTTCAGGCTACATTTTTCTAAACACCGTAGAGCTGAATCAGGGTTTATATCTTTGACTATCTCTAAGTTTCTTTATCTGTCCGAGGCAGCAGGTTTCTTATCTGACAGCCTTATAATTATGGAAGCATCTGCATACTAATGATTCAGTGCTTGCATAAACAACTGGCCTTGGAGAAATCTAATGAACTAACTTGCAGGATTTGATTTTGCCTAATTAAATGTAAATAATGTTTAATGTTGTATGTGACAGGATTTCTCTGGAAACTTACAGAGTTTATGTAACCAAAGTGCTATTATGAATGCAGAGTGAGCACTGTATTGAACATTATGAAATTGCATGTCATATTTTGTTTTCAGCTGTTATATATCTATCTCTTTATTAGAAAATAGAGAATATTTAATGTCTGGTGTGGCCAGTGATAGTGTGTATCAGGAGATGCTTGCACTGTACATAAGTATGTGTCAGCCTTTAAAATGTTCTTTCCTTTCTGGCAAACTATGAAAATAGAGTTTGAATCAGAATCATTTGAGTCAGCCAGAAAAAAAAAAGAAAAACTTCAGTGTTTACTTTTTCCTCCTTTTCTACAATATTTTGTGACAGCAGTTTGAGATTCTGAATCTTTATTTGATCATTCAGTATAAACCGGGTAGAGTTGGATCATCATTTGCTAGGTTGGTTCTAGTGTTGGGTACAGAGGAATATGCACATCTTAAACTTTTTATTTCTATAAATCCTTTTTAAAGGCAGAAAGTGTTAAGGTTTTTGTCTAGGATTAGAGTGTGGAAAAGCCTAGTCTTCATTTGGCTACCTGAATGAACTACCAATCGTAGTTTATAGGTAATAGGTAGTAAGGCCATTACCTAGGAAAGACACCTTGGATAAGATGATGGGAAAACGGATCTAATGGACATTTTTCCTTCAGAAAAGAACCGTCAAATGCAAAACCATGCAACTAATTCATAGGAAGATACTATGTGGTATAGCAGGCATTCAGAAAACCAAAGAAGAGAAAGGTAGCATGGATATCATCACATGATTTGATGGGACCTGAACACATTTTTCCCAGGATTTTGTTCTTCTGTCTGTATATCTATATGTATATATAGATATATCTATAGATAGGATATTATATAGAATCTAGATAGATTCTATAGATTCTTTTTAAAATAGGTTGAATCTATAGATTCTTTTTAATCATGAGAAGGAATTTTGAATGCACTGCTCTACAGCTGTAAAGTTATCAGTATCTCCCTTACAAGGTCCCATGACAGTATATGATGGCAGAGAATTAAACAAATGCTCTACTACTCCATGGACAATCTATAAGGGTTAAAATCATGCAAACAAGTTTTTTTCTCATATAAAACATAAACAAGTTTTGAGAGTTGATTAAGGAAAGTCTATGAATGTTGCTGTAAAAAGAAAATAACTTTGCTAACCATGATGCTTCTCAGTAAGGCTAGATTTTGACCCTGAGTTCTGCCTTATTTCAATGTGGCCCAAGCTCATATTTTCAAGTGTTTGGAATTCATTTTCAATGAGTTTACAATTGAATGTACTGGATTTAAACAGACTTTATTACAGTGTTATGCATATATGAAATAAAAACCAGATTCAATACATCTTCATTTGGTTGATGCATGATCCCAACTGGATTTTTTCAATCACGTTTCTTGAGGTCAGGGATGGCACTGCTGACATACTTGGCATATTTTGTATCTTCTGGCTGTTCTGGCCATCTGTGTTCCTGAAGACAAATGCAGGTCAGACAGTGGCAATCAGTAAAAAAAATCACATGATATTATATATACACATGGTACTAAATTTGTCTTTCATAATGGAAACCTTGTATCTTACATGCAGTATATTCACTTCTTACCTTTTGTTATCTTCTATATCTTTTATTATCATTATTTTATTGGATATTTCTATCACAATAAGTTATTTGACTCATAGTCGTTTTGTTATTTATTCCATAGGATTCAACATTTTTTAACTCTATTTTTATATCCTTTGCTACACAAACTTTCAAAATCAAATAAAGGGCTGAGATCTATTCTAACCTAGTTTGTGTGATTGGGCTCTATTTATTTTCGTGTTTCCTTTCTCACTCCCACTTGAGTGCACTGAGTTTCCATTAACTTTTCATTCTAAGTGCAAGTACTGATGAGTACATGAGTAAGATTGAGCTTCAGATCCAATGATGTGGAAAGCTGAATTAGATCTTCAGTAGCATCCTCAAACATGTACAGCCACTTGCAGTGAGACACATTTGCTCTAGCTGTGGGCACAAAGCAGGCAAAGCCATAGAGAGCTGAGTTTCTTCCCCCCAGTTTTTTTTTTTGGTTGGGGGTATTTTGGGTCTTGGTGTTGTTTTTTGTTTTTTGTTTTTTCTTTCATTCAATTTTATTTTTATTTTCCTTTTTTTTCCATGTCTTTCTTTTTTTCCTTCTTTTTTTTTTTAACAAAGCAAACATTCGGGCTTTTGCCAGTTTGTGATTATCTGCCCAGTACTGCTGAGAATTCATTTCAGTAGAAATATGCTTTGTTTGCATTCATATTGTGTGTATAACTATCACTCTGCAATAATAATCCAAGGACTTGTAAGTGACACTTGAGATAGGGCAAACACTGCAGGGAGAGGAGCCAGTTAGAACCTGATAATGTTTTGAGAATTAATAAGTAGGCCTAGATATTTTTCAGTTTTCAGGGGTTATTTGCTGTATTGCATTCCAAGAATGTATCTAAATATATATGACTACAAAAGAAGTATTTGAAAAAAAAAGTTTTGCCATGTTTCTGGCGTGTCTTACGACATCCTTTCTTTTTCTTACCAAATATGTTCAGAGCTTCTTTATCTTAATCTAGCCTTCCATATTTCAGTTCTAGAGTCACAAGCACATGCTCCAATTTTAAATTCGGTGAACATAAATAAAACTCACCGCACAACAAGTATAAATGAATTCAGTTTGGTGGAATTCCCTAAATACTCAGTATGGGACTTCTGATACGAAATAGCTATTTCATGTGGATCCACATTCAGATATATAGTGGTATAATGCTCAGACATTGTAAGCCATTTTCAATCAGCTTAGAGCTTCTTCAGCACCCTTAAAGAGTAATGAAACTGAACATGCATGCAAGGCACCTTGCTTTGCCCTACAGCAACAGTAGTCATTGGTCTGCTTCTCACCCTTTGTTCTTCATTTAGCTAGACTGCTGCAACACTGGTGAAGATGCTGTTAATAAGACTCCTAGAAAAAGTAGCTGGTTCAATGTAAGGCATTAATCCTGGCACCTTTGATGAGAAAATCTGCATCACAAGAGACTGTGGCAGAAATTCAGGTGAGAATCAGGAGCTGAAGTTGGCCTATAATAGTACTTAGGCTTTGGTTTAAGCTATCAGTATGTGATTGAATGTAGAAATTTGGAGAAGTTGTTTGGAAAATATATAAATATATATATATTCATTTGGGGGGAGGGAGTGCACATATCTTTTGGATTCTTTATTTTCTCCTTTGGATAAACTCTTTATAGCCCACATAATGTTATGAACTGAACTTCAAAGTCGCTGCAGCCTATGCAATCCCTGAGTTTTATCTTTTTTTTCAGTGAAGTTATTCCAGATTCATCTACATTGGTGAAATCAGAGACTAGCCAATTATGCTTAAGCTAATTGATAAAAATAATTTTGCTTCAGTTTTTTACTGACTGACTGAGTGGTTAACACATTTTCATTATGTTGATATCATCTAGTTTCACTTTGCAATGCATATCTATTCAGAGTGGAAATGGTTAAATATGAAGAAGCCAGGTTATTACACATTTCAATTCCAGAGTCAAATATAAAAATTTCTATTATAGGGACAATTAATTACATCTCAAAATGGCAAATGTGCATCCTTGTCAGGTAGAGTGTACTCTGATGGCCTTTCCTCAAACACTGAATGTGGAGATTTGATCTCTTCTAATGGTGCTGAGAAAAGGGTAATTACGCTATGGTCAAAGCTAATTTGCTTTCTGCCAGATGAACTGTTGTATTTTATTGTACGCTGACATTTTAAAGTAATTACGGCACTGTTGACCTTAGACAATTCCAGTTGTATCGCTGTCTACAGCTGCAGCGTTCTACCTTTGGCTGGCAGACAGCGGCTGTAACGAGGTAATGACACGGACAAAGAGCACCATATGGGGCTCCTTTGAGATACACAAAGCCCAGTGAAAGGAAACAAGAAAATTTTAACATCATCATTACAGTCACACATTTTTACAGCCATAAAGGATCCCATCCCCCTCATACCCAAAATGCCCCAAATTGTTTACTTGTTTATGTACTGTATATCTGTGTGTTTTTTCTTCTGTAAATGACAGTATGCATTAAGAAGAAAGAGGTCAGGTAGAAATGAATGTGACAGACTGGTCTTCCTCTGACATGAGTTCAAAGGCTAAAGACTATTGATTGAGATAAAAGCCTAGGTTCTTATCTAATGTTAAAGACACTCCTTGTTGTCTGAAAGCTGTGCACATAATTAGACTGAAAGGAGAGCACTTCATCCAGAAAATCACTATAAACTGAGCTTCATTAAACGTAGATATTAGTTAATTTAAAGGAAGAAGTTATTTTTCATTGATATATTTTAATGGGGGTATGTCTGCTTGTCTTTTCTACACGAAGAGATATAAACGTGTGCAGAGTTCTTCCTGGTTAATGTATCCCTGCTAGGAGAGAAAAATAGATTACTATCACTCACAGAGTAATTCTTTATTCTCTTGGAGGAAAAAAATGCAGGATATCGAACACAAGAATTTACAATAGTGAAGAGCTGGTAGAAAATGTAACTTTACTGTTACATTAAAAATTTCCCTCCTGTTTTGTGGTATGGGTAATAGAAATGTTCACTTCTTCAAGGCAGGCAACAGAATTTTTACCTGTGTCATGTTCTACAAATTACGTGATAAATGAAAAGAGATAGTGGAAATGATTCTGTGATTGTAAATCGGTTAATCTCCATTGGAGTTAGTTTTGCACAATGAGGTTTTGTTAGAAATAATAAGAAAAGGGAGATTATGGTTGGCATGCGTCAGAAAAATTACATCTGAAGAAACAGGTTAGGCCAGCATTCAGTGTTGCTCTTGGCTCCAAAATGATAATATCACTTCTTAAAAATCTTGTTTTCAATTTTGCACAGCTCATCCCGTTGTTGAATAGTAGATGATGGAATAGCCCATGTATCCAAAAAGCCTGTGTTTTGAGAATTCCATCTTTGTAAAGAAGTTGATGAAATGTGAATGGTGTTTCAAAAGTTAAACTTTGATCAAACATAGAAAGGGCTGCTCGCCATGAGCCAGCAGTGTGCCCTTGTGGCCAAAAAGGCCAATGGCTTACTGGGGTGCATTAAAAAGAGCGTGGCCAGCAGGTCGAGGGAGGTAATCCTCCCCCTCTACTCTGCCCTGGTAAGACTTCATCTGGAGTACTGCGTCCAGTTCTGGGCTCCCCAGTACAAAAAAGACAGGGATCTCTTGGAAAGAGTCCAGCGGAGGGCCACAAAGATGGTGAAGGGCCTGGAGCATCTCCCCTATGAAGAAAGGCTGAGTGAACTGGGTATGTTCAGCCTTGAGAAAAGGAGACTGAGAGGGGACCTGATCCAGGTCTATAAATATCTAAGGTGTGGGGGGCAGAATGGCGAGGCCGGACTCTTTTCAGTGGTGAGTGGAGACAGGACAAGGGGAAACGGCTGGAAACTGCAGCATAGGAAGTTCTGCACAAACATGCGCAAGAACTTCTTTACAGTGAGGTGACGGAGCACTGGAACAGGCTGCCCAGGGAGGTGATGGAGTCTCCTTCTCTGGAGATGTTCAAGACCTGCCTGGATGCCTACCTGTGCGACCTACTGTAGGGAACCTGCTTTGGCAGGGGGGTTGGACTCGATGATCTCTGGAGGTCCCTTCCAACCCCTACAATTCTGTGATTCTGTGATTCTGTAGCTGGCTGCTTGCTGAAAAGTTCATTTTTGTTCATTTTCTGGTCCAGTAGTTATATGTAAGAACAATACAGTTTTGAAATCAGTGTTCAGCCTTCTGTTTTAAATCCAGAGTCCAGAATGTGCCTATGTTATCTATGTATACATATGTATATTTGTGTTATATATGAATTTTGGAGTATTCTACTTTGATGTTGTTACTTACTCCTTTTGCAGTATTTCTGTTATCCTGACCTAAAATAGAAGCCCTGGTGGCAAATGAAACAAGAGCCATCACTCTGTACGTGAAAGAACTATGTAATCAAATACCAGGAAAAACACCATCCCTGCATCTGAAAGACAGATTGACAAGGGGTATAGCTTATGCCAGCTATTTTATGACAGTGGTTTTTACAGGGATATCTTGCAGAAAAGCATGAAGAAAAGCCAAATAAATAAATAAACAAACAAATAAATAAATAAATAAATTAAAAGATTCAAAGTAATCTGGAATTAAAACATATATACATTCTATCAGTAACATAGCATAATGCTGTAAAGTTTTAAGAGGGAGGTAGAGCAGGGCAATATATACTAATGAAAGACAAACACTTGTCCTTACCATATTACCAAGGTGATACAAAGATAAATAAATATTTTTTCCAATAGTTCATGTTCACAGAGCTAGCCAGAGTAGAGCTCCAACAGTGTGCAATGGCAGAGCAAATCTTTCTCTTCACCCAAGACATAGAGCAAAAGTAAAGCACAGAAGAATTCTTGCTCCATT